ATTGAATGTTATGGTTTTTACACTTTTTTCAGTTGCTAAATTAATAATTTGAATATATAAAATAAAATTTGAATCAAAACTTTTAGAATTTGGCTGAGCTAGTAACTTTGGTTCTACCTCTATCTTAGTATTTAATCCATTCGTCATACAGTACGAGTGATAAGTACTCCTTCATTTTTAACCAAGAAGATTTGGGTTCAAGTATCTTTGAACTTGGAGTCGCCTTTGTTAGTGAGTCTTTTATCCCAATGTGAAACTTCTCGACGGATATTTGAATTTAGTTGGACTCTAATATAAATTTTTGACACCAGATAAAAAATCAAAAACAAAATTATAATACAATTTATCTTTTAGTTAACGTAACAAACTATACTACTTTTCAAGCAAGTCAACATAAAATTTTGATTCGAAAATAAATAAATAAATAAAAGAAATTTTTATTTTAATTTGTGGTATACCAACCAATTATCCATAAATATATTTGTATTGGTAGTCACTTTAGTTTGCTCTGCCTTTCTCGAAAGCATCTAACTTTTAGAACATGGTCAATCAAAAATTAATAAGTTCAAAGGGAGGAGGATCTCATCTCATTAACCATCGATATGAGATTTTTGTCATTTTTTAACACCTCACCTCACGTCCAGTGCTTAGCATCTGGTTTGGGTGAGACGGACTCTGCTCTGATACCAAGTGAAATTAGGTCTTAAGCCTAATTCACACTCCAAAAGTTAGCTCAAAGTAAGAAGGATCGTTCAACCTTTATAAGGAGTCCACTCATCTCATTAACCACCAATCTGGGACTTTTGTCATTCTTTAACAATAATAAAATTAATCTAGTTTACCATATTCATTCATTAAAGTACGTATCATTTTCTAACGAGCTTTTACCTTTTAAATAAAATAAAAATAATCACAACACGAGAAAAATTTCTAAATTCTTAAGATCACTCAATCTTGATCAGTCAATCTAATGTTATTAGTATTAGAATAAAGAAGATGACCTAGCTTTTAAAAAAAAATTTAGGCCACCCACCCACCCCACCAGAACTCTTTACATTTTCTCCCAAACACATTCTTGCTTGCATTACATGTAATTTATTTGTTCGCAACATATTCATATTGCATGATAATTTTGGGAAGAACAAGTTCTCCATGTTTGAACTAAAAAATCGAATTAATAAATATTAATATATATTTAATACTTTGTTGAAATATAAATACAAAAATAAACTCGTTTTGATCGAATATCCAAATCCAATTGTAATGTGTGGTCATTATGATGGCCGGCGCCTGCGTGATATAAATAAAGAGTATTATGAAATTAATTCTATGGTCTTTATACAAATGTGTGTGAATGGGCATCAATAGGAAATATTTATTCTTTGGTTCACATTCCTAATACAATACACAGCAATAGCTTAATGTATAATCAACATGTTAAATTAAATATTCGAACAAAGTTTTGTTCCAACTATGCACCTCAGGTCTTAATAAAATATTTCAATAAGACATTTTCAATTCATATTGTGAAAGTTTCTTTTGTATGTTTTCATTTTATTAAGTGGTTAAATTAATTAGACAAAATATGTCATTGCCTCTAATCATACGCATTTACCTCAATAAGTTTCAAATGCTTGGCATTTCCTAATCTAGGTTGATGCTATAATTAAAGGAGAATGATATATTTTATGTTAACTATTGAATAGAAGAATGAAATACATGCAATTTTTTTTATTATAAGTTTTTTTATATTGAATCAGAAGAGTTGTTGAAATACTTTATTAGATGTAAGGGAGCCTGAGAGGTGTTGTATTAAAACATAATTTAATTTAAGTGTCTAAATGAAATATTTCAACAAATTCAAGAAATTAAATTAACTATTTAATCTACTGCCTTATTCATAATGCTAAACTACCAACTAACAACCAAACAACCCTTTGGTATTAATTAGTGTAATGTATTAAGATATTTGTCTATTCATTGCTCACACGTAATGTGCGCTACTACTATCCAAATTAGCGTATTGTACTTCCAAAATATTTGATAAACTCAAATATTTTAATAATTTATTTTCATATTAAAAATCAAATTAATAATCGATATTAAAATATGAAGATTGAAAATGTTAATTTACTGGGGAAAAAAAAAGAGAGAAGAATAAAGTCTATTGATTTTCTTTCAATTAGTTGAAACTAAATTAAACGAGTATAAGAACACTCTCTGGTGCTCTTAATAAATGAATCGAAAAAGCATCAACTACTTCATACATGCTTCATTTGATTAGAGGGGATATAATAACTCAATAATTTGGTTGAACTTGACTCTTACAATTAGGTATTAACCCCTTAATACTTTCGATACTTGTTTTTTTTTTATATAATTTCTCACTTAACGTTTTATATTTACTTTCGGACTTGACTAATTTGGATCTCACTGAAAAAATCTATTTTAAAAGTTTAAATCATAAAATCAAACTTAAAATATTCGATTAAGAATAAATAAATAATTAACTTTCACGAACTCGAATATAAAATATTTGATGAAAAATGAATAGGTAATTGACTTCACATTCCATAGAAGCATGGAAGGATAAGGCAATTTCTCCAACTACACACACCCCATCTTCTGGTTCTTCTATTTCACGTGAATAGGTATAATTCCTTACATAAAGCCAACTGCCAAAATCAATTGGACTAAAGGAACATAATTAAGATCGTGATGGTACATATACTAGTTAGTTTACAATATTTTTATAACAACTAGTTCGAATCGATATCTCTTAAGGATCATTAAACCTCAAGCTGATCAAAGGTCGAAGGATTATATCCATTTAATAGTAATGATTAACCCTAATCGAGCCACACTATAAATTCTTATGTTATTTTTCTTCTTTATTTTCTTTATTTGTAATTGTGTGCTGGTTGATCTATGATATTCTATCATTACTTGTTTTAATCTATATTACTTTAAAGTCATTCAACCTTAAGCACAAACTCATGATTAAAAGTCGAAAGATTACATCTATTTTGGTGATAAAAAAATTAGTAGTACTAACCTAGTAATTATTGTTTTAGTGAAGATAAAAAATAACCTCAACTAACTAGTGTTGTTTAGCCTCAAGCATTAAAGGTCCGAAGATCACATTCATCTGATAATATAAAAATCAAGAATTAAGCTTACTCAAGCCTTTCTCAAATCCTTGTGTTATCTTTATTTGTAAGTCCACAACATTTCTACAATTCCTTAAGAGTCGTTTAACTTCAAGCGCGAACTCCTTATTAAAGATCGAAGGATCACATCCATTTGGTTATAAAAAAAATTACTTGTACTAACCTAGGTATGGTTTTAGTAAAAAAATGAAATAATATGTAAGGGGTAATTTTGTCATTTTCCTTGAGCGTGGGAAAAAGAAAAAGGAAGCAAGAAAGAAAGTAGAAGCAAAAATTATTAAGCTTTGTTTGGTTCATGTAACTTGTAGGGGCAAAATCGAGAAAATACAACAAAAGTTCCCCGCGTTTTTTTCCCCAGTTTCCCAACCAATTCCTCCCTCTCAAAGCAAAAAAATTTATATAAAGCCAAAAATTAAAATAAACAAAATAAGAAAAGCCCTCTTTCTTCTTTTCTCTCTCTAAAATTCTCATCCAAAAACGACCACACAATACAGTAGAGAGAGAAAATCAAATCGAAGATTTTACAGAAGGATATCGAGTTTCTTCGGAGACGAAGGGTAGCTTAATCCTCCATTCGATCTCAAAAGGGGAGGTGTGATTTTTTTATTTTTTATTTTAAAATAATTTTTGGATATGAGAAGAGGCAGAGCAACTCCGGCGGCGGCGGCGGCGGCGGTGAAGCCAGATGGATCTGGAGGATTGAAGGAGATTAGGTTTCGTGGAGTTCGGAAGAGGCCATGGGGGAGATTTGCTGCAGAGATTAGAGATCCATGGAAGAAAACTAGGGTTTGGTTAGGTACTTTTGATTCAGCTGAAGATGCTGCCAAAGCTTATGATGCTGCAGCTCGAACTCTTCGTGGACCTAAAGCTAAAACTAATTTCCCTTTACCTATGTATTCTCAGCATCATCAGTTCAATCGAAGTTTAAACCCTAATGATCGGTTAGTTGACCCGAGATTGTACTCACAAGAAGCTCCGATCATTTGTCAAAGACCTACATCGAGCAGTATGAGTAGTACTGTGGAATCATTCAGTGGACCGAGACCGCCACGTCAGCAAACGGCGGTTTTGCCTTCGAGAAAACATCCTAGATCGCCGCCGGTTGAGCCGGATGACTGCAGGAGTGATTGTGACTCATCGTCTTCTGTTGTTGAAGATGGTGATTGTGAAGGGGGAAATGACAACATCGTTTCTTCATCTCTCAGAAATCCACTGCCTTTCGATCTCAACTTTCCACCTCCGATGGATGATGTTTATGCTAATTCAAATGATCTTTACTGCACAGCACTATGTCTTTGAAGGAAAATGGTTTCAAAGTTTCAATCTTTCAATTATATTGAAACACACAAAAAAAATCACAGATTTAAAGCAATTGCTATGAATCTGTTGCTGGAAGAGATTTTAACTCTTCCATTTACTTATCCTATTTAATGTCATGGTATTTCATGATAGATGGATTAGTGTCTGACAATTGATCTGATTATGTGTCCTTCAACTATATATGAGTTTTGGGATAATGTAGTCTTTTATTGTCAGATTTATATACATTAACATGTAAAATTAGAGGGAACTTTCAGTTCTGTGTTGTACTATTACAATGATAGCTCTAGTGTCGTTGATGTAAGACAATATCTACTCTTTCAATCACTTAATGTAAGAATCAAGACTTCATCTAATCAAATATTAGCTTACATGTGTTCGTTGGCATATATGCTAGTTTAATGTTTTGATTGATGTGTTAATTCAGCTATCATTTAATTTTTCTTGTATGAGTGTTTTTACAAGTTATGCATAGGCTGAGTTCTTGTATGTTAGTCGATGGTTTAACAAGTCTTTTGTTAGTGATGTGATAGAAGTTGAAGATAAAATGTTCCATAGAATTCCATAATTTGTTGGAGTGAAGTATTTTGACATGACTTATTGGTGTTCATTCTCAAGGAAATGGCATAAGCTCAAGTGCATCAGAGAGGATTTTGCGTGAGCTTTTATAATAGAACCCTTAGCTTTGTGAGTAGGTACTTATACAAAAATCAATAGTAGTATGGGGTAAACATTAGAAGCATTCAATCATTTGGTGACAATATTCAATGTTTTGGAATATAAGGAATGTCAGATGTTTCGAAGGTTAAGATGAATAGCTTACAACAGGTTAAATACAAATGTTTTATGGATTCTGACTTTTTGGTGTAATCTACTGCAGGATGTAAAGGATGATGATAGCATGATAGATTTCATAGAATCTTTACAAGGATAAGACTTTCACAGTATGGATCCTTTTTTTTTGTACACAGGAGTTCCTGATATTTGTATCGACTTAGTGCAAAGTTGTTCTCTTTCTAATCCATATCTTACCTTTTCAAAAAAGAACAAAAAAATAAAGCATTTGACATTGCTCAGTGGTGTTCATTCTCTTGTGGATAAGCTCAGGTGGGTCCAAAATTTAAAGCTGTTCCATGTTTTTGTTGTTGCTTCGGAGGGGTAGAGGTAGGCCTAAGAAGTATAGGGGTGAGGTGATTAGGCAAGATATGACGCAACTTTAGCTCATCGAGGACATGAACTTGATGGGAGGGGGTGGAGGTTGGAGAATAGAGTAGGAGGGATAGTGGGTAGGGGGGTGTATTTCCTTCCCATTCTCAGAGTATTGATATTTTTCTTCTTGTTTTTCCCTTTCTTTAGACTACTATTACTACCTGTTAATTATTATTTAACCTCGTTATCTTAATTTCTTCTTGCTGTTTCTGCGTGTTATTGCTGCCTCGTTTTCATTGTTCATTCAGCCGAGGGTCTACATCAACAACCTCTCTTTACCTTCTCAAGGTAGGGGTAAGATCTGCGCGTACACTCTACTCTTGGTGGAATTGTGGTTGTTTTGATACTGAGCAAGGAAGTTTGTGAACTAGTTTTTGTTTGAGAATAAGATTTATCTTCCGTCTTTTGCCAATTAGTGAACACTGAATAGAACTTCTTATGTATGCCAATTAAATGTTGTTGCTGAGTAAAGAAACAGCATTCAACATTTGATAGCCATAATCATTTTCTTGCGAGTAATCATGATGAGTTAGTTTTCAACCTAATGCTTCTTTGTGAATGTTCCTTGTCATCTACAATATGCCGTGTCTATGATCTGAGAGGTTAAATTATTTGGTCTAGAACTGTTTCTTTTCTCTCTTTCTGCGTAGAGCCATCTTGTTTGATGATGTTTAGCCATTTTGTATGTTCAGCTGCATCAGTATCATTTGAAGCATCAGTAGATGTTAGTGCTCTGGTTTCTTATTTAGATGATGTTTTGCTATTTTGTATGTTCAGCTGTTAGAACTTTGCATGAAAATTGAGATAGCAGATTTCTTTTCTCTTCTAACATATATGTTGAAGTTATGGAGTTTGGTCAAGTCATTATGTTACATAGATACCTTCTCAGACTATTGCCTTAATTTGGTGACATTTTTCTGAGGTGCTAATTTAAGTTCGAGCATACTTGACTAATACACTCTTCTCTATTCGTGAGTATTTTATATGCATTCCTATGGAAAAAAACTTCTCACATGATCAAACATCTGGACCTTGTGAAACTTTGTGATGCAAACTTGGTTATCTTTTCTGAGTTCGGACATCTTGTTTTTGCAGGATTGTAGGTGGTTTAGTAATTCTGTGCACATTTAATAGGGAAATTTTTTAACTTTCTAGTCTTTTACATCAACAACATACACGCACACGCGGAGTCTGTGAGCAGAGTAAGTGTACACGGACCTTAAATTACCTAGTAAAGATAGGAGACTCTTTCCGAACTTTTGTGCTTTTCATCATCTAATATTTCCTTGACTGTCATTTGTGTGCGTGCAGCTATTCCTCTGTTTCTCTGCTTCTCTCCCTGTTTGCAGTGAACGTTGAGTCAGGTTACTACGCTGGGATTAGATTTGTCAAAGGCTTGCTAAAGGCTGTGATGGAGCCACCCTTGTCCAAAGGACACCCCTTCACTGCAAAATTACAATGTGGATAGGTAAATTCTCTTTTACATATATATAATATATTCATGTGTTGAATCTTTTTGGCTTCTTATGTGTTTAATTCTTCATATTTCACACCCCTTGATGAAAATCCCGGCTTAGCCGACTGTCTTGAGGTATATTTATGAATATGTATAGATACCGTCACTTAGACTGCACTTCAGTGGAGGTATCAATGCATTTCCATTTAACTAGTTGATCTATGAGCTTCTTGAATAAACGAGGGCACTAACAATAACAAAATAAGATTTAGTTGTTATGCAGACATTATCGATGGAAATGTTAGTGGTCTGGAATAGGGAATATAAGATTAGTTTCTATAGGTGATTGATATGATACTTCTGTACAATTTACTTTGTTGCAGTTATGTCAAGTCTCTGCTCATGTTAACTGTGTCATATTGGCATAAAAAGTTGGTTTGTTAGGAGCTTATGAGAAACGTTGATCCAATATTCGTATTGAAGCCTGCTTAAATTTGGATTGTTCCATCTATATTTGGGGTGGGGTGGCACTCCAAACACAAGATTTTTTCCATGTACAGGGTTCGAACCCGAGACTTTGGTTTGGGGTGGAGGATTCTAAAATCATTCCACCCCAACCCATCACGGGTGATGTGTTGCTTGGGAAGATTTATACAAATAAAAATCGTTGTGTTGTTATTTAATTTTATAATTCCATTTAAATAGTTGTGAAAAAAATAACCTTCACTAAGTTTGGATTTTAGAGTTTTACCAAGGATTTGATACAATTTGTGTTGTAAATTTGGAATAAATTGTTCTGAGGATCACCAAAATTTTATAATCGATGGGTATAGCAACACTTGGCGAATCACCAAGATTTTAGTACAAATTGTGTTGTAATTTGTGGCAAAACGCTTAGAAATATTGGTGGATCACCATGATAATTTCATATAGTACACAAAGCTAACATATACTCTCTCCGTCCCAATTTTTACATGAGTTAATTTAACTTTGATACTGCGAGAAAGAAAGACAGAATTTTGAAACATGTGATCTAAAGTAAGATTTTAATATTTGTGTGGATAAAAATCATTTCATTGAAGATAAATTTAACATTTTAAAGTTAAGTTATTATTAATTATAGAAGTGTTCTTTTTTTGGACCAACTAAAAAAGTAAGTAAATCATAATATTACTTCTATCTGGAATTGTTTGTCATGATTTTTATTTTTAGAGTCAAACTATAAAAATTTTAACTAACATTTTAAGATGTATTTTTTCATTATATTAATATGTAAAAAATCACAATTTATAGCACTTTTCATATAGTTTTAGAATATCTATTTTTTCTTTAAAATATCGAATTAATATGATCTAATTTAACTTTGAAAATTACTTAAATTGATTTTTGAAAAACGTAACAGGACAAACAATATCGAACGAATGGAGTATAAAATTGAAAATACATCTTACCATTTACTAAACTATCCCTAAATGTCTTTTAGTGATAATTTATTATTTTTAAATTTTTGATCCATCACTACTAATATGGACATCAATTTCATAAAGATAGTTAGTATTTTATTTTTAACTTAAAATTTTAAGATTTTTAGGTCACAACTTTAGATTCCAAGAACATTTTTATGATGAGAAAAAGTAGACACCAACATGTGGTGATAATAATGGGCAGGTTGGCAATGCACATAATAGCATGTTTGCTCTATAAAATTAGTACACCTGTTGTTGATGATCTGCATTTGATCTCATTTTGTCATCTTATCAAAAACACTGATTTGAGAAAAGTTTCCTTTTATTACATAACACATTTCGGCATTTCAAAATTTAAATAAGTCAGTATTAATCGTAAATTTTTCGTACATCTTTTAAATATTTTGAATTGTCACTTATTATGATTATAATACTTTTTACATAATTTTAAAAAAAATGAAGACAAAAAATAAAATCACATTGATTGAAAAAGAGAGTATATTACAAAACAACTTTAATCATACTAATATTATTAGACAATTAACTAACAAACAAATCAAGTTTAATTAGTGTTGTTTCTAATCCATATTATTTTGGGTACAACTTAGTTAGCTGGTATACGTTGAGACAGGGACTTGCCAAAGATTCCTTTGTCCAAGGTAAAAACTTAATTTTATAGTGTTAATATCAAATTAGTGCAATTCATCAATGATTAAATGAATTAATGAAATAATAATATAAGTTGCTTAATTATAATTAAGTAAATGAATGATGTACCTTAATACAAACATCCCATGTAAATAATTTTTTACGAACAAATCATTAAGAAAATCTTCGCTTTCACTTCAATGACTCAATCACCCCATCATTTTGTGCCCTTCGAATCAAACGATAATGACAATAGAGTTTCATTCGCGGAGTTTAAAACATCATTGATACATAGTGGCTATTTTGTGATGATAAAATTTGTTATATAAATGAGTAACAATTCATTTTAACTCAAATAAAATTTGAATATATTTTAACAAATTTAACGTAACATATCGATTTGCCACCTTGATACATAGTTTATACGAATCCCAAAAAGTAGTCATTTACTTTTAACAAAGTGAACGTATACACTAGTAGAAAAACTGTTTTTTTTTTAATTTTTATAAAAAGATTATGATATAACTAATCTTATGAATAGTATTATATTTATATATTATATAATATACCAAACTAATTTAAGAAGTAAAAATCTCATTGATTGGAAGAATCCAGAACCATTATGCATAGTATATTAACTTTCTATTATAAAAGGATACTACACTCACTGTCTTCTCTACAAGTTTCCATTGCCTTTTTTTTTTCTTCTTTTTGCTTTTAAAAAAATTATTCCTTTCTTCTTCGATCTCCATCACCAAATCAACTTACTCTTATTTTACACTGCAATTTCCTTCGACGAAAAATTATATTGTAGAATATATAACTATTGAAGCAAAAATTCTAGTGCAGCACAAAGGAATTCAAAAATTGCTTTGGATTACACATTCAAATCTCAGGTATGACATTCTATTTTGTATAATAATCATAGTCTTTGAGTTGTGTACATGACGAATTAATTTTGTGAGATATATTTATTATCTTTCGTATATAACTATAAATCTGTTTGAATTGAATTATTTTACATTTTTTTATATCAAAAAAACTCTTAATTTTTTTTAAAGTGCTCTAGTAAAATAAAATATTTATTTATAAATCAAAATCATAAAAACCAATAGGTCATAACTTATTAATTCCTAAATTGTTACCACTTATGCTTATAAATCATAGCTTATAACTTATAAGCTTATTCAAACAAACTCGATTTATGAAATACTTGTTACCTTTCGTAAACAAAAATACTAAATAACTCTATTAATCAAAATGCATTCAATTGTAATTATTATTGTATATTAAGTTGAAGTAATTATACATATTCATAACTTCATAATTTTATAGGTATCTCTAACTCTGTCTACTCATAATTTAAACAGGTATGATCCTCGTATATACTTTATAAATATGAATTTCTAGCTTCGCCATTTTATCTCATACACTATAAATTTGTCTGAATTTAAGTACAATTTTCTTCAGGAAAAAAAACAAACAGAGATACACAGAACTTCTTGTACAAAATGTGTGATATCAAGAAGGAAACTTTACTTAACAAAAACAAGGAAATTGAAAGAACAGTATCAAATGCCTATGATGAATTACGAAGTTTCAGAACATGGTTGAAATGGATGTGTGTGGATCAATCCAACGCGTTTTCTGCTTTTCTTTCTTGGTTTGTTTTCATACTGTTAGCTGTAATCGTCCCTTGCCTTTCACATTTTCTTCTGGCAATGGACGATAGTGATGCTGCACACAGTCGTCCATATGACGACGTTGTGCAGCTATCACTTAGCAGTGTTGCTGCTTTGTCATTTGTTTGTCTTTCTCAGTTTGTTAAGAAATATGGTCTGAGAAGGTTTTTGTTCCTTGATAAGCTTTGTGATGAAAGTGAAACAGTTAGAAGAGGCTACACTGAACAGCTCAATGTAAGTTTACCTTCTTTTTTTATCCCGAGTTTAAGTTTTATGCATTGATATAGTGAATATATATTTGTATTATTAAGTCACTTGTTGGGTAATTAGACGTAAATCTCATGATAGTTATGACTCCCTCTTGAGTTGTTCAGACTCTTCAAAAATGCTAACAGGTGTGTATTCGATCCTTTAATAATAGTGCATTATATAAAGATCCAATAGGAGAGAGTCCGAGCAACATAGACTTCCTCTGTCCCAATTTATGTGTCACCTTTCCTTTTAAGGTCGTCAAATTCCCCTTTTTAACTCTTAATGAAATGATTTATAACCTTACTAATATCTAAGGTCTATTTTTAGGCCACACGTTTCTTAAACATCGTATCAAGTCAAATAATGTCATATAGATTGGGATGGAAGGAGTACTTGATAATCTCGTAAAGATGGTAACTCGCAGTTGAAAGAATTTCATCCTAAGGACTATATATGCACATGATAAAATGAATTCTTGGAAGTCTTGATAAATACAACGGAAAATGTTATTACTGGAATTGTATTCAGATTCTTTGAGACATTTCGAAACAGAAAGAGTATTGTTTATATGAGTCGAAAGGATGGAGTATTGATCAACTTTGAGGTAATGGTAACTTCTTCTCAATATGCAGAGTTCACTAAAGATCTTATTCATATTTGTCCTGCCATGTTTTGCTGTTGAATGCGCGTACAAGATTTGGTGGTACAGTTCGGGTGGTACACGAATCCCCTTCTTGGGCAACGTCATTGTGAGTGACACTGTCGCGTGCATTCTAGAGCTGAGTTCTTGGCTTTACAGGACGGTCGTGTTCTTCCTAGTCTGTATACTTTTCCGGTTGATATGTTACCTTCAAATTCTCCGTCTACAAGATTTTGCTCAGGTGTTTCACGTGGATTCTGATGTTGAATCGGTGTTGAGAGAGCACCTGAGAATTAGGAGGCACTTGAGGATCATTAGCCATAGGTACCGGTCATTTATCTTGTGGGCATTGATGCTCGTTACAGCAAGCCAATTCGCGTCCCTTCTCATGACCACACGCTCAACTGCAGATCTTCATATTTATGAAAGTGGTGAACTCGCGGTATGCCTTATAAGCATTGTTATTTATTTTTTTAAAAAGTGGGGGCAGGGGAAGGAGATTACAAGGTGGTGAATCGAACCATCTCAAACAAAGTGAAAGTTCAGGTAGCCAAATATGTGGTTAAAGTCGGTCAGTCTTTTGTTCCTTTTTAAAATTCGTGCTCAGCCAAACACCGTCATATATGACATGAAATCAAGGGAGTACCTATTATGATTCTTATCCTAGATGATTGACCCCTAGTTCATCCAGCCGATCCTTATCCTGAATAGTCGTTTTGTTGCTGTTACTCGTGTTTAAAGGTTGTCGTTTTAATATGCAGCTCTGCTCTGTCAGCCTTCTTGCCGGGCTGATGATACTGTTGCGAAGTGCAACCAGAATTACACACAAGGCTCAATCCGTTACGTGCCTTGCAGCCAAGTGGCACGTATGTGCAACGATAGACTCATTTGATTCAACTGAGGCTGATACACCAATTACTCGAGCGACCTGTGACCACATTTTTCCTGTATGTTCTGAAGGATCATCTGATGCTGATGATGTTGGAGATGAAGAAGACGAGTTGGACAATACGAAATTCGTCCATGCATATGCGTATAGCACAATTTCATTCCAAAAAAGACAGGCATTAGGTATGATATGCTGGTTAAATTTGTTTTCCTTAGTAGTACTGCGAGTTTAACTTATATGCACCGATAATCAGTATTGGAGCAAGAATATTTACTAGATTCAAAATATAAAGAAGTAAACACACAGTGAATCCAAGGGGATTATAAAAAATAATTTGATCTTTTATATAATATAGTAATAAATTTTTGACGAAGGAGTTCAGATGAACCCCTTGTGCCCTCCAATTACGTCCATGCTCACAATATATAATAATTTTTCTCCATAACAACTGTACTAAAATCTTCACATAGTTGAGGCGTAAATGGTAAAGTTGTTGCCATGTGACCAGGAGGTCATGGGTTCGAGATGAAAACAGGTTTTAGCAGAAATGTAGAGTAAAACTGTGTACAATAGACTCTTGTGGACCCGACCCCACATATAGTGGGAGCTTAGTGCACCGGGATTGATCTTTTAGTATCAAGTTTGTAATACTGCATAGCTACTTAGCTAGGATTACTCTAATGGTACTTTATTTTGACAAATCTGTTTGCAGTGACATATTTTGAGAACAATAGAGCAGGAGTAACAATTTATGGATTCATGCTGGATAGAAGTTCTATTCACACTATATTTGGGATTGAATTATCACTAGTTCTTTGGTTGCTTGGGAAAACCATTGGCATTTCTTGAACTATTATTAGCTACACGCTATGTTGCTCGGATTTTACACACCTGGTGATATTTTTGAAGAGTCCTAGCAACATAGTCAGTCAAAACCGGACTTTTTGACGTGTTGGAGTATAAAGACTAGTGCTAGCCTCTAGGCTCTGATTCATTCTTCTTCATTTCATCATTTTGTTGTGTTGTTCTGATCATAGGTCTAGCGAGCTATTTAATTGATTGTTCAAATTTTATATCATTTATGATATCATATATTTTTTTTAATTTCTAAATTAAATAACTTATTAAGATCGATTATATAGTTCTCATGCCACCTTCAATGGATTTATTTTGAGGAAATATGTTGTTATGTCATATTACTTTTGGCTTTTGTGTATATTTTTATGATTCAATTTACTTCTAGCTCATGACATATTTCCAATAGGACACATGATTACAAAATAATTTGGTACATTTTAGTAAATAATTATTAATTTTAGCGGTATTTTTATTATGTTAAACATGCAATATATTAAAAGTGAATTATGTATGCAAGATATATGAATTATAATTGTTTTTTTGAAATATATTATATTTGTTTGGTAAAAAATTGACACATTGTATTATAAATGTATTAAAATATGTGATAAATGTATTATCCATCATTAAAATTTGTATTATAAGTGAATAATAAATTATTCTTTGTAATATGTATTGAACTTGTATTATAAATGAATTAAAATTGATCAAGTGAAAAAAATATATTATTGCAATAAATGGTAAATATTTTTTTATTATAATATATTTATGTAAGTTTTCCGTACGAAACAAAAAAAATAAAACAGTCTCGAGTTTAATTTTTAGGAATTAAAAATTTTCGGACTTCTCAATATGTCTTGCATATACTAAATTCAAATTATTCAAACATCAAAATGAATATCAAATAGGTCAACATTGAAAATAAATAAAATTAAGATAGCATTGACATTAAAAAAAGATTTAACTTATATGCAAATATCCTAAAATTTATCACATTTACTTTAGTTTAAGTAATTAATATACAGCATTAATCCCAAAATTTATATAATTTTTACAGATCTTTTTTCTTTTTCTTATTTTTTTAATTTTTATTTTATGGTAAACCTCAATTTATCTCATTTTTTTTTTCTCTCTTTCCTCCTTTATTTTCTCCTTATTGCCTTCATCCATGCAGATTTGATTTCTCTCATTTTATTTTATTTTTCATTTTCATCATAGAACTCTGTGTTTTTCCTCTCATTAATTTGATACAAACAACAAAATATACAAGAGGAGAAAGCATAGAGAAATTAGAGAGCAAGAACAAATATATAATATATATATATATATAAGCCATTTCAACCCAATTCTTTCATATTGAAACCCTAAAGGCTTCATCTTTGTAAGTATTGATGATTGTTTTTCTTAATCTAATCGTATGATTTTCGAAATTTACCGGCTCAATTAATTTAGATTCGGACTATGTTAGGCCCTGCCCATTCAAGAGGAAAGCCTTTTACTTGATTTTTTATTTTATTTCTGGGACTCGAATTTCGTATTATTAAGAATAGAGAGATTTCATTATTCCATGCATCCATGCATGATTTCATCCTTTACAATTTTTCCCTCCATGTTTTTCTATGATTCATGAAAAAAAAACATCAAAAAATCTAAATACATTGTTGTTTAGATTATTAATTTATTTACGAATATACAGGGGGCGTTTCACCGTGAAAATTATTCACTTTTTCCAAAAATTATTTTTTACTTTATTTGATTCATCTTGAAATTTGAAAAAAAAGTAGTTTTTGATTTCAAACTGAAAAAACCTTTTTGTTGTTTTTCAAATTCTTGAAAATTCTGGAATTCAACTTCAAGTTGAAGTTCAAAAATTTTATGGCCAAACGTGTTTTCGAAAAAAGTAAATTGTTTTTATACTCTTCAATCTACATTTCAGAAAAGCTATTCAACTAACACCTTCTATTGATCTAATATTGAATTGTCATTCTATTACTGAAATTCATTATTAATCTACTTAATCACATTTGATTTTGATAGTATGAGCATTTCATCTAATTTAAAATCTTTAGAAAAAGTATGCTTTTTATAATTTACATTCTTATGTGTTGATAGTGTATTTGCATAGTTTGTTTCATGGATACATGAATTTTCTTGTTGTTATACACCTCGATAACGTAAAGAACTTTTACACTATCTATCAAGTCGCGAATATATATCCATCTTATGTACTGATAGTGTATTTGCATCGTTTGTTTCATGGATACATGAATTTTCTTGTTGTTATACACCTCGATAACGTTAAAGAACTTTTACACTATCTATCAAGTCGCGAATATATATCCATTGTAATATAACCAAATAATGTAGGCATTTCTTTTTTATCATCTTCGATTTATTAGTTATACTCATTCTCTTTAACTATGTGTTCCATGATGCATTTTTGAAGAAAAACTTAATTATGTAATTTTCAGTTATGGTAAGACAAACTAAGTTCGAGGTGCTAGCTTAGCTTGTTCAAAAGCATAACAATCAACTTGGCTTCTGTAAAGAATGGAGTTTGATACTTATCCTATCAATCGTTGCTCCAAAAGGAACGAGAAGATCTATCAAGAATGGTTTAGTTCTGCTGATTCCGGTTTGTTCTCTCTGTCTCTTGCGTGTGCGATCTCATCATCATTCTCATTTAAATATGTGCATGTGGATATGAATCCATAATTTAAATTTAAACGGTTCGACTTTCAAGAGTTTTTAGAATTGAAACACATTATGAGTTTAAAATGCTTCAAGTTTTAACATTTTTTGAATTTAATGGTATCACAGATGGAGATGGACGTCTCATTGGAAAGGATGCCACCAGCTTCCTTGCTATGTCAAACTTGCCTCGTGAAGATCTCAAGCAGGTTCTTCTATCTGTGCATAATTCTTTTCAAACAAGCCCTTCATTTCTTCGGTGTTTCTTTGATTATGTGTAGCCTAATAGTTGTTTTTGACTTATATACGGCCTTCTCTTACGACTATGAAGCTGATGCACTATTACTGTACACCTTTTATGCATTTAATACCTATGTCTAATCAAATCGTTGTACTTCTCTGTTTTTCCGAAGGTCTGGGCAATTGCAGATTCCAAACGGCAAGGATATCTTGGTTTTAAAGAGTTTATAACTGCAATGCAGGTACTAGCTCTTTCTGTGGACTCTCATTCACCTTTTATAGTTAATTTTCTTCCCTATAAACTGCAGATCATTCTTTGAATTTCACTATGTAGTTGGTTTCTTTGGCTCAAGCTGGCCATGCTGTGACGAGTGATTTCTCAAATGCTGACGGTAAGCTATGTAGCTTCAAGTATAACCAAACAGTATACTAGTAATGTTAGTTATCACATGACTGCAACTACGAAAATAACTATGGCTCAGTTTCAAACAAGTTGGGATTGGCTAGATGCATTCTAACTTCTCCGGTTAACACCTTCACTCATCATAGTTTACCTACGGGCCAGTACATCTGTAGGTCGACACACAAATGTGGTCAATTTTTCATCTGAAAATTTGTTGATTGTTCGTTATGGCATGTATTGGCCTTCTTTAGCAAGCAGAATTTGTTATCTTATTCTGGTATCATAATTAGAAAAATTTCAATCCAATGCAGTTGATTTCGAGAATTTACAGCCACCTACAATGGAAGGTCTGGACGGACTTCTCGCTGTAAGTATGCCAGCTAGATTCATTTTTTTCTTTTACCATCTATTGCTCAACTGTTACTTCAAATGTTTTACAGAAGAAGAAGCGTGTGGCCAAATGGGTACCTGACAGCAATGGTAATGTTACTTCAGTACATCCAATAAGATTTCTATTTTTATTTGTTTGCGTTCTTGGAAATTGGGAAGGGTGAGTGAATGGATTCTCTGCATTTAACTAATTGAATTGAGAAGCAGGCAGTCTTTCGCTATCTTCCCGAGCTAATTGGTTTTCATCGTCAAAATCTGCAAAGAAGGTGAGTGTGGTACCACCAATATGAATCTATTTCTTCTACCAAGCTGATTTTGCATTAAATCTGTATGAATTTCAAGAGACTGTAAGTCTTTTGAGACAAAACTTTCTTCCTCGTGATTTTAGTTTTACTCATCCTATTTTAACACCTTCAATCACCTTAGTTTCACATGACAAGTGCATCTAGAGTTTGAAATAATATGTGGCCAAACCATCTCAAGGATCTTCTCTCATTTTATCTCCGTGTCCTATAAACTCTCAAATATTGCATGTTCTTGCTTAAGTAATGCACTTTTCAGATACTTATCTGTTATAACTTCCGAAGATTAGCTTTTTGTTCAAATAGTTTCATATTTTAGCTATATATGTGGTATCCTTTTCTAGGAGTACCTTTTGACACTATCTTCATTCCAAATTACGTGACAAACTTCTGTTAGGCAATGTCTTAAGATGATCGACAAACTTATAAACTATTATTATATTCTATATAACTTTCATAGTGTACAAGTGGGACTTCATTTGATAACTACAGTATAAACATGACAGCATGTACTCCTATGAAGCTAACTTGTGAACAATTATCGTGGTCCTCGTCTGTCAATGAAAACTGTTCTTTTATTTGATGTCATAAGCTATCTGTTGAAATTATTGAATGGGAATGTCCTTTTCCCAAACGGTCCGAACACATCCTATAGCATTCCATTGGTATGTATATTTATTTTGCTCCTGGGGTGATGCTTGTTCCTTTTCATTTGCCTTTCAGGTCCCTTCAAACTATGTCACATCAATAACCGATGGACTGAAGAAGTTGTACGCCAAAAAACTAAAGCCACTGGAAGTTGCATATCACTACAGTGATTTTGTCTCTCCTTTATTGGTAGGTGTAGCATTTCAGTTTAGCTATGCTTATTAAACAAATAGGAAAGTAGCTTAAATTCCGTTATCGGTATCATGATGACGGTGATGCGTATAGATGAATTAACTTCTTTATTCTTCTATGTTTGGTAGGCAAATAGTGATTTTGATGCCAAACCAATGGTGATGCTTTTGGGTCAATATTCCACTGGCAAAACAACCTTCATTAAACATTTACTCAGATCCAGCTATCCAGGTTAGCAAAAATGATTATTGGCGTAACTGGTAGGTCATGTGTTCGGGCTATGGAAACAGCCTCTTGGTGCTCATTTTGTGATTCTTTTATGGTCCATAGGTGCTCATATTGGACCGGAGCCTACAACAGACAGATTTGTTGTCGTCATG